CTCTGTACATGAAAGTATTTTGTAAACTGAGAGTACTGATCCAGTCCACATGATCCAGGGAGGGTATAATGGAAGAGTTATCATGCAAAATTTCATGCAATGAATGTAAGCATCGAGTAGCCTGAGGTCCAAAATAAGTCTCCAACCCCCCCCTTCTTTTTTGGGATCAGAAATTATAGAGAATAAAGCCCTATTCTTACAAATTCAGGAAGAACGATCATATACTGTAGTGTCAGTCTCTCTCTTGCTGAAAGATATCAGTCCCTGAAAAGATATTGGGGGGGGGAGAGAGAATGATCTGGAAATGTATGGTGTAACAATCCCGGATGACCTGAAGGCCCACATTAGTCTGTAGTTATTCTAGCCTAAGCCTCCTTCAAAAACCAAACCAGGAGAAGAAAGGGTACAGGTCTATGTAGACTGGATCCATATCCTCCACCACAGCAGCAAAACTGTTTCTTTTGAGCATAACCAGGATATGCTGAGATATTGAATGAATTTGACAATTTCCTCTTCTAGAGTCTTGATCTCTGTCTACCCTGATCAAAAGATCTCTGAAGGAACACAGCTATAAGTGGAACGTTGAGATCTCCGTTTGGTAGATGCACGAGATCTATACTGCTTTCTTCTGAAGGGCAGAGCACAGAGGCCCAACAATCTTCATCTGGGTCATAAATCCTTTAAAGAATATGCATCATCCATTTTAGCCCTAAAAAGATCTTGATTGTTAAAAGGGAGGTCTTGTATTGTAGTCTGGACCTCTCTAGCCAGGCCCGATAAGGAGAGCCAAAAATCTTTGCATGACAAATGTAGCAATTTCCTGGATAAGTCTTACTGAATTATGTTTATGTATGTAACATTGTGGGCCATGGATTATATGTTACTCCATGGGAAAGGGAGACCACAGCCCTCCAGGACCTAAGAGCAGTGGAGGATGATTAGGCAAATTCACTCAGGTTGTCACACCCCCCAATAGGTGGTACATCTGGAGAGGCTTGCATATACTGGTTCAAACTGGATTCTCTGGAGAACCAACAAAGAAAGGACTTTTGGATAAACAGCCTAAATTTAAACTGACTCAGGGCTTGCTTTTATCATCTAGAAATAGACAGTACCTTCTGTCCAAGGGAGGCTCCAACCCTTCCTGAGAAGGTTGGAAGAGCATGACCTATTCATGCATGAGCTTGTGCTGAGCTAACAGCTATTATGAACTTGTGACAACAAAAAATAAACCCTGGTGAGGCTTGAAGAATTGATCACCTGCCACAGCCCTTGTTGGAATTGTGGTGGTCTCTGGTAAGCTTATTAGCATGTGTGTAAGTTTTTCCTTTTTTAATACATATTTTCTGTAGTGCTTTCATCTTAAGAATAAATGTGCTTGCTTAGAAAGAGCTATGTGGTAACTTCTAACTGTGGAAAATTACGCTATTTATAGCATCTGAAGAGAAAAGCAAAGCAGGCCTGTTAGGGCATTTCAACTTGCTAGGAATTCACAGTATGTGCAGGGAATTATGCAGCCCGGAAAAAACCCAGTCCGACAGGAGAGTTGTGGGTCTCTCCCCAAAGAGAGCTTGCGACCAGAGACCCTGGGGAGCCAGTTGAGGTCACTCAATTAGGGTGAACTGCAAAGAATGGGGCAGACAATCCCCAAAGCTGGTGGATATTCCAATACTTAGATTTACCAAGCCAGCACAAACAGCTTCTATTATATCTCACTGGTTACTCAGAACACCACAGTTCCCTTAAAATAACCCAGTCTCAGGCCTCCACCTAGACACCCAAGTCAGATACGATGAGGATTTCTGAAAATCTTAATCATCATATGAAAAAGGTTCTACCAATCCCAAAGGATTGGACACATTACCTCCAGGTTAATGAATATTCCAGATCTTTCCAAAATACACGCTTACAGTCAATTCTTACTAACTAAACTAAAATTTATTAAAAAAGAAAAGGGAGATAGAATTGGTTAAAAGAACAGTATACATACAGACATGAGTCAATCTCGAGATTCAGATTCATAGCAGAGATGGTGAGCTTTGTAGATGCAAATAGTTCTTTCAGAAATAGTTCAAAGGTTATAGTCCAAAGTTTATATTTCAGGGTGGTCCAGTCAGAACTGGGATCTCAGTCCTTGTGCCTTATGCTTACCCTGCATGAAACCTCAAGCAGGTCTGAGATAAAAAGGATTGGGACCCAAAAGCCTTTTATACAATTCCAGGCCTTCTTCGACAGGTCGGAGTCCTTAGTCGAACAATGGGTCCCCTTCAAAGTCCACACGAGTACCTATTTCCTAAGCATAGCCGGTAATTATTCACACCAATTAACACAAGGCAATTGCCAGTTTTTCCACCATTCGCAGATGATTTGCTCTACATTTGAAAGAGAGATGAATACAGCTGGACTACAGAAGGGGAACACAGGTGCAGTTGCCCTGAACTGACACACACTTCTTATGACAGTTCCACTTGCCACTGATCGTGTCCCTAGCCTGTTTGTCAGAGGGTGGAGATGGATGGCAGGAGAGAAATCACTTGATCGTTACCTGTTAGGTTCACTCCCTCTGGGGCACCTGGCATTGGCCACTGTCGGTAGACAGGATACTGGGCTGGACGGACCTTTGGTCTGACCCAGTATGGCCATTCTTATGTTCTTATCATGTTCCTGAATTACTGGAGTTTAATGCTGCTTGTGGAGATGTTTTTCTAATCAACATTCCTTCAGAGCAAATGGAAGTAAATTCTTCTTCCTGCAGAATCAAAAGTTTATCCTGAAATTCTGCCACTTTATCCCACTGGATGTAGTTATACTTAGCCAGCATGGCTTGATAAATCGAAAATCTGACCTGAAGGGAAGCAGAGGTGTAAATCTTTGTCCCAAAGAGATCCAGGGCTTTTTTGGTGTTCTCTCTTCCTGCCTCAGGTAGATCTCAAAGCCTGCCTGGATTTTTCATTTACCACAGTGACTACCAGTCGCAATGGAGCCAGACAAGTATAAAAATACTCAAATACCTTATGAGAAACTTGATATTTCTATCAGCCCACTTAGAAGTCGCTGTTCTAAGAACTGGTGTTGCCCTCAGTTTGTTAGCTGGCTCAAGAATGCCCCATTAATAGATAAGGCTACCCTGTTTTTGGTGGAAGGCTGCAGGATATCAGAAAGTTTATATGACTTTTCCTGAGTATGTCCAGAGGAATTTCTAATGTTTCTGCCATCCTCTTTAACTGTTCTTCAGAAGTCTTGAAGTCATTTACTGCCGTAGGAACAAGATACCATAGCATCATCAGAAGATGATGAAAACTGTCAAGCTACAAAAGGTTTGTCCTGAATCTGCTCGTCCTCTTCTTCAGAAAGAGGTCGCGGTGTACAAAATACTGTAGACTTCGGGAGGAGAAAGCAAAGGAAAAATCTCTCTAAGGAAATTTCTCTCCTGAAGTGGAAAGGAAGGAAAAATTGTTGACTTGGATTGTACCAATGTAGCTAATAGGCCAGGATTGATAACCATATGGATAAGGCATAGCATTCCAAGGTACTGACATCCACACTGGTAATGGAGTATCATGCGATGAACTCCTAACAGTGTAGCCCAGGGAGAAAAGTTCTTATGATGTTTAGAGCCCTCAGCAGATATTGGAGAAGGCTCCAGGCAAGATTCCGCAGATGAAGATGACAAAAAGTCCTCTAACAGAGGGACTACTCACTAGGTGCAACTATCTGTTTAGGGGAAGAAAGCTCACCAACATCCGTAACAGCAGGCCATAATTAGATTTTCATAATGGTAGCCTGGGCTCCTGTTGCATTGGAGATTTTTGGGAAATGAAGATAGAAAAAGCATGTAAAAAAAGAGAAGATTCTGGCTCTGGTGGAATCATGATCTCCTTAAGGTTTGTAAAAGGTGACCCAGATAGTTCCCTGAGAACTGAGTGAGAATCTGAAGTCTGTGGCGCCGATTTCTTTGGATGCCAAATCCCTGGTACCAAGTATTTTGATGTATGGGGGTGTTTCTGATCTCCAGTACCAGTGTGGCACCCAAAGTAAAATAAGTGCAGAAGAAGCTGTCTGGACTGGTATCAATTCAACAGCCAGCATTACTGAATGTGGCCTCCATGCCACCAGAGTACTTTGGTGCTTGCTTCTCAGGCTTCTTATGCAGTACCAGGGACTCAGACATGCTACTGGTACTGAATTTTCTCCCTCAGGCAACAGGGGTCTCCGACTATTCCACTGGGACCTTCTTCTGATGTGGCAAGTTCTTGTCAGATTTAGGAGGCCTCTTTGCACCTTGATGGCTATGAGGGATTTCTCTTACCTCCAGAGCACTCAAGGCATGGCTCGAGCAGGAAAGGGCTGTGGTCCCCACTCTCAGAATCTCTAAGTTAGAAGCTGCTCTCATGGATTTCTCCATGAGGAAAATCTTGAGCCCGGACTCTAGATTTGTGTGTGGTTTTTTTAATACCTTACAAATAGCACACTTAGAAGTTACATGGCTCTCCCTGAAACAACATAAGCACTCATGTCCCTCTTCCAACAGAATAATTCTTCCACACAACGGACAAGCTGTGATGCCCGGTGAGGATGGGAGACGCAAAGTTATACTGGACGCCGAAGTCCAGTATAACCACTTACTTCCTACAAAACTAATTTTTTCGTAAGCCAATGCGTAACAAAACAAGACTAATAAATCTAAGACTAATTATTACAAAATTAAGTAAGTAAGAAGTAAGGACATTAAGAGCTTTCAACTCTCTGTCAGGGCAAAGAGCAGGAACTGGCTGGTGGCCAAGATCGGTCCGCGTTTTATTTTCTTGGGTGAGGGAAGTGCAAGAGCATATAGGGTGCATGTCCAAGCCCTAGTGGACACTGCTAAAGAAAAGCTTTCCAAACTTCTGTATAGAGGGCACAGACAGACCATGCATGGCATCCACATACATGAGAGCTCAAAGAAGAGTCTGTTAGTTGCAGACAGATTTGGATGAAACATGGTGAGCAATAAGACTTACCTTTCTCTCAGATCTTGTCTCTGTCTCTTCAGTCTTACTCTCTACACTTATATTAAGTTCTGTAAGAACATCAGAATCCTGGGCCACTATCATGCACTCTTCCTTTGGAATGTCTTGCGTGTGGTCAGACGAGCCCTTCCTCTTCGCCGCCTTTTTCTGCGACTGCGTGTTGTCACCTTTTGTTTTTCGCTGTCTGAAGTGAGCAAGCTGTGCAGGAAAGATTGAAAGAGATAAAGGGAGAGGTAAGTGAGGAAAAGATAACAAGACCATAAGATTAACACACTCATGGATAACAAAGAATCTCGTGATCTGACAAAACATGCACGTTCACAGAGAACCTGCTTTATCTTCCTACTTACTGCACATTCAGTTTCTACCTAGGCAGCAGCATAATTCACAAAAACACAACAGTTAGACTCATTTCAAGAAAAGAATCAAATTTTTACTAATACTTTCCTAACTTATATTTGTCATGTTGAAATAATCCAAAGTTACAGCCAGATAAATTAGTAAGAGACTAAGTGTTGTCCATATACTAGAACCAATAAAAATGAGACAGTCTTGAAGTCTGAGAGTCCTACAGAAAGCAGCATAGCCTCTTAGAAAAATATCTTAAAATATCTTAGCCACAGCAAATATAAAGACTAGAATTGACAAAGGTGAGTCTTCTTGCCCTTCCCCTCCCAACAAGAGAATATATAGCAAAAGTTCCCAGACAGAAAGCAGACTGAGGTACATAAATAGAAATTTAATTAAGCCAAGTCATTTTAATTTCTTCTGTTGAAAAATCAGATGCTCTACTTTATCAAACTAACACGCCCCATTGAAGCCCTAGGGATTTCCAAATAATGTCACCCATCAAAATCTACTACCCATCTTTCCTCAGTAACTTAAACATCTTAAAGAGGATTAGAGTATTTTAAACTCTAGCACTGTATGTAGGCAGCAATTCCAACCAACATCTCACTCACAGCATAAGACCAGACATTCTTCTAATAGGGAAAACCCTTCACCAAGGTTACAGCCATAGGTTATCAACCATATAGGTAAAATACCTTTATTAGTAGCTAAAAGATCTATTCAAAATCATAATAGAATGTAGAAATCTGAGAATGTAGAACTACTACATGCTAACTATACCAAAATCAATATCTGAAATAGTTTGTTTTTGTTGTGGTAAACTCTACTGAAAGAAGCAAGATTGCACTTTTCATTTCACTTGTTTTGGAAAGTGTACTTTCTGAAATGAACTAATTCCTTATTTTTCATATCTACAGCAACTTGTGTAATGATAGATTACCTAACAGCAGCTGTGCAATTGCATACCTGTTCTATACTAGACAATCTGTTTAAAGTGCTTAAGACTATGTCCCTTTGCTAAAGAAGGAATGCCAAACACCTCCCTACTCTTGAAGTGTTTATGCAGGCCACTTGATATGTTAAGAGCACTTATGAGGATCGATGCTGCTGCGATCGATGCAGCAGGAGTCAATTTAGTGGGTTTAGTGAAGACCTGCTAAATCGACCGCAGAGTCCTCTCCGCTTGACTCTGGTACTCCACTAGAACGAGAGGAGTAAGGTAAGTTGATGGGAGAGCGTCTCCCATCAACGCAGCATGGTGTAGACACTGCAGTAAGTCAATCTCAGCTACGTCCACTCCAGCTACATTATCGTAGCTGGAGTAGTATAACTTAGTTGACTTAGCCCAGTAGTGTAGACAAGGTCTGGGATGCAAACACCATTCTTCACAGTGTAGTGTTCACAACAGACCCTAATGATGCTGCATTGCTGATTAATTCATCAGTCAGAATGGGGAAGGGGACAGAGGGAAGCTCACAGAGTAAAACAGTAATGGAACTAGGGGTTGCTGCAAGGAGAGGGAAAGGCAAAGAAAGAGGGGAGAGAAACAGGAGGATCAGAAAAGAGAACCAAAAGGCACAAAGAGCGGTAGTTTTAAAGGTCAGAAAACGATCTCATAAAGTGAGGTTAAATAAGACAATAAATAATAAAAGATTAGCCACTGCACAAAGATAATATTTGACTCCTGATCCTTGTGCAAATCTCACATTTACATCAGTGGGAGAGCCACATGCACTGCTCATTATAAAAACTGTAACGCAGTCCACTGGTTTGAACATATTTTATTAAAAAGATACCACACAAACACCAGTGGCTATACTTGAGCTCCAAGTGACTACATTAGGGACAGGAAAAGAGGTCTACACAATAGAGCCTACGAATGCACAGCTATGTCAGCATGGCCCCATAGTGAAGATGCAGCATAGACCAACCGGAGTTTTTCTACCAGTGTAGGAACATCACCTCCTGAATGACATTAGCTATGCCGATGGAAGCACTCTGTCAGCATAGTCGTGCCTACTCTGGGAGTTTTGTCAGCATAACTATATTGTTCGTGGTGTTTTTTTCATGATCCTGACTGACATAGCTTTGCTAATGTAAGTTTTAAGTGTAGACCAAGCCTGGTATTTGTTGGGTGCAGGTTTTATGGACTCAGAAAGGCCCTCATAATCTGTTGGGTCTTCGAGCGGCTGAAGCTTTGTTTGGTTTTGACTATAATGGAGGAGAATAGAGAGAAGGCATTCTGAGAGAGAAAGATGGAACTTTAGGTTAGTGATGACAGACTCCTAGTGACTGAGGGGGAATTGTCCTGGATTCCGAATGGTTAAAAGTAGTGAGGGTTGCTGAGGGGAAGCATGGAATGCAGTCTGTGTAGAATTTATTTTTGTGTACCTTGGGGCATAAAATAATTACACGTAAAAAACTTACTTCTGTTAATATTCACAGTACTTTAAACACATTACCCAAGACTGACACTGCACCCTATATTCTTCATAAAACTACTATGATAGGATTATGGCATAACTATGATGTATTTTATGCAAGATAGGTCACGTAAGCTATCATTGGAAAGGTTATGATGTACTGACTATGATTATCCTATTTGTATCCATGTATCATTTTTGTATCTGAAATCAGGAATATTGTCTATGTATCTGTTACAAATGTGTTTACACATGGAGAATGCCCACTAGGCAGAATGCACTCAGTCTAGATGGCTGGCTGGGAAGGGCCCATTCAGGTTAAAGGGCCATTAGGAGAAAACAACAGGCCTTAGAAGAAGCTTCTCTCTCACTTGAGGGACAGGGCGGACCCTTCCTAAGGACTCTACAAACTGCCTCTGACTCATGCCTGCTATGACACTACAGCCACATGTGACCAGGTCACCTGGCACTGGACACCATGTTGGGATACCAGTGTTTTTCCACTGACTGGCATGGGAACCAAGTTTTGAAACAAAGGGTTCCTACTATATGCAAAAGCTATATAAGGCAGGGGACTGACCTCATCGGGGTTCTTCACTGACTCCCTGCCCAAAGAGACTCCCGGAAACACCTAAGGAACAAAGACTGAACTGGGTGTAAGTGCTGAAGGGATTTTTAGGCGTAAAAGGGCGTAAGACCCAGGCTGAAGGGGTTTTTAGCCTGTGAATGAAACACCTAGGGATTCCAAGCTGTAAGTTAGTGCAGCTTGCCCCTTAAGAGCCTCAGTCTGCTTGCATCATCATTTAGGGGGAGAATTTGCTATTTATATCCGATCTGTGCAGTATATTAAGCTTAGTTTGTGTGTTTGTTTATTTGCTAGGTAATCTGTTTTGATCTGTTTGCTATCCCTTATAATCACTTAAAATCTATCTTTTGTAGTTAATAAACTTGATTTTGCTTTGCCTAAAACCAGTGTGTGGGGAAATCAACTCAGGACAGAAAGCTGTTGTATATTTCCTCTCCACATTGAGGGAGGGAGCGAATTTCATGACTTACACTGTATAGTTCTCTCTGCAGTGCAAGATGGTATAATTCTGGGTTTACACTCCAGAGAGGAGGTGCATGCCTTAGGAACTGGGAGGTGCCCTTGCTGTGCCTCCCCATGCAGAGCTGATCACAGCATCTGTATGTAACTGCAGCTGGATGTGTCCCTACCTGTATGTGTGCTGGTAAAGAGCAGGCTGGAGCCTGGGAAAGGGCTTGGCAGGCTGGTCACAGCAGTACAGTGTAAAGGGAGCCCAGTCTGGTGTCTCGGGGGGCTCAGTGGTACCCCAGTTAGAGGTGGCACCCAGGGGGAACCCGTCACAAAGACATTCACATCTCTGAAGACACATTGGCAGTTCTAGTGTATTGCACTCTTCACTTTACAGAGGAGATGGAAAACAAGTTCCCAGAATCATCCAAGACCATGTCGTCATCATGTTGGTGCAAATGAAAATTAAAAGCTCCCACTTACACAATTTGAAAAAAAATATACAGTTACATAAATGGAAAGACATGAAATTTGAAAGCTGATCGCAGATTTACATGTCTAAAGTATTATTAGTAACAAAAGAACTAAAAATTATTTCTTCAAAAAGTATTTTCAAGCTTGAAAGCTTGAAGCTGAAGGCTTTTTAAAGTAAGCTAACTCTTTTTATTCGTAGATAGAGAAGATTTGGACTGCCAGTACAAAAAAATATTCAAGGAAGGGCACCAAAGCTCATGCTGTTGTACCACCATTGTTTTTCTAAGTAAAAAAGACACCACATATTGGATGTAGATCTGAAAGTGTAAAGAATTATACTTTGTTACAGGGAAAAAATGGTATGCTAAAAACACTGCTGGATGATATGGAGTTAATCTCTAATATTAAAAAGGGATGCTGTTAAAGTATAATGTTTCAAATTTGGATTAAATGAAAAACTGCACATTCACAATACTTTACAGCTAGTTATCCACTGGATCTGTTGAGTTTTTCAAAAAGTAGGGATGCCATGGATTTGAAATTGGTTAACCTTCTGGTTAGAGCTACTAAAACAAACTCAAGGTATTTGCTGTTTTGACAAATGCATGTGTATACATAACACTTTCCCCCTATTTTGTTGTGCATGTTTGAAATTTAGCATTCTTATAGACATAGCTGCAATTTACCAAACTAAAACAAGTATCAGAGGGGCAGCCGTGTTAGTCTGGATCTGCAAAAGCGGCAAAGAGTCCTGTGGCACCTTACAGACTGACAGACATATTGGAACATAAGCTTTCGTGGGCGAATACCCACTTCTTGCTTGCATATTTATACCTGCCTCTGAAAATTTCCACTACATGCATCCGATGAAGTGGGTATTCACCCAGAAAAGCTTATGCTCTAATATGTCTGTTAAT